GGCAGGTTGAGGTTGACCTAGCAGGAGGTAGTGCAGTGTTTTGCCTTGTTCTGAAGAGTGTGGCAGGCTACCTGTAGGACTTTTACGTTGTTAGTGAGATGTATAATAATGCTTTCGTAGATGTCCTTGTTACAAAGAACTCAGTACTGTGTTTATGTAGATCTGGAGTGTAGGATCAACACGTATCCAAGGCTGAGGGACGAACTACTTCGTCTTCCATTGTCTCCCGGATATAATTTCTGTATTGGATTGAAAAAAAAGTCACTGGTTGGCGAAAATTCTTCATAATGAAGATACTCAGGCGTCTTTAACAACTTGTCATTGTTGTACACCATTACTGTAATAACAGGTGTAGATACTGTGAGGGTGAGGTGGTGGCTGCCTTGCAGGTGGCCGGTGCCAACATGTGAATCACTCAAGTGATGGTTTCTGCTGACAACACTAAGCAGGTAGTGTTTATTGTGGATCACTATAGTGAAGTAGTGTTGCAGCAGTGGAGAGTGAAGGTCTGTGTTGCAGCAGTGGAGAGAGTGAAAGTCTGTGTTGCGGGAGTGGAGTGGGTGAAGGCCTGTTTTGCAGCAGTGGAGAGAGTGAAGGTCAGTGTTGCAGTGGTGGGTGGGTAAAGATTATTGATGATCTTGGTAGGTTCCATGCTCTTACATTTACTATGCCAACAGAGTGAGAGTTACATGAGTGTTTTAACTAGTGTTGTACATTGGCAGTAGTGATTTTGGTGAGGGTGAAGCGAGCAGCATTACTACCAGACACTGACAGAGTTGGCAGCTACCAGCCACGCACTGATAGATGCCTCCTTCACTTGACAGATATGCAGAACAATCCACGTGGGGGATGTAAATCTTTATCTTTAGATCTTTCCCACTGTCGTGCGTCGTCAGGAGCTATGCAGTGTTGCAAGACTAGCTACAGATAGCAGGGAAAAATCATCTCTGAGGCAAGAATGAACTTATGTCTTGCCTCACAGAGGATTTTTCCCTGCTATCTGTAGCTAGTCTTGCAACACTGCATAGCTTCTGACGACGCACGAGAGTGGGAGATCTAGAGACAAAGATTTCCATCCCTTACGTGGATTGTTTTGCACTGTTAACATCGGCTGTTTGCAATTGTATTGCACTGGTAGATATGTTATTATGTCTGTAGTGGAGGTGTCGTGTGCTCACCCTGACCACTGTTACGTTCTCAGTATTTACACACGAGTACTTGTACTCTGTTGGTACCATGCATCTTATAGTTATCATGACTTGTTATCATGTTCCTCATTGCTATCATGGCTTGCTGTCATGTTTCTCATAGTTACCATGACTTGCCCACTTGTCTTCACGTTCAGATCTATCTGCTCTCTGGTCATACTCGGTGACAAATCTATGCACATATGTCGGTAGTATAGCAGTGAGAGGAGCGCAGAGCGGATATAGAGCAGCGTCATCCATCACCCTGACACTCTGAGCACTACACGCTATATTCACAGCGATATTTTTAAATTGGAACGGAAGAGTTGGCCATCCCATCCCACACACACTAACACCACACAGCAACACAGCACCCACACACTAACACCCACACATTAACACCCACACCGTGTGCTATCAGTCTTGTGAGTGACCACCTTTCTCTGCTGTGGTTATTACTAGAGAGAAACCTCGATGTTTCGCCCTCCATCCCCCAGGTGCTGTATTTCTCACTCATTGTTGGCTTTCCCTGACGCACTTTTCTGTTTCTGATGGATTTCTGAGAACCTCTTCCCTTTATTTCAAATATTTTCTCATTATATCTGTGAATCTCTCTCAACAGGAGAGTGTGTGAGTTATCACTTCCATCCTCCTCCTCAAACGAGAGGGGGCGACTCCCTCCCTCCTGCTTCCCTGCCTACCTTTCTTCCTCCCTCCCTTCCTTCTTCCCTTCCTTCCTTCCTTCCTTCTTTCCTTCCTTCTTTCCTTCCTTCTTTCCTTCCTTCCGGCTTACCTGCCGCCCTCCCTCATTGATACCTCTTCATCACCAGTCAAGACTCTCAGTGTACATACACTGAGATACACACCTCTCAGTATATACAATTTAAAGACCAGCTGGTCAGAGGTTCGACGTTCGAAACTGTTGGTTCCATGTGTCGAATAATAGTAAGACTTGGAAGAAGTCAGTGTTAACCTTGACGGTGCAGTGTACAGTGTTGCTGGTACTGCTGCTACACAGGTAAGGTACACAGTGTCTATACTCTACCTGACAGGTGTACATACCCTGAGATGAGTATATCTCAGTGTATATACAACAAGAGATGCGAAACTCTTAGTACATATACACAGAGAAGTATTCAAGTTAATTTGTTTACATCAGCAAGTGTATATAAATACCGACCAGTGGATATCTCTTAGTCTGTATACACCCAAGAGTTTGTATCTTGGTTTGTATATACCGAGAAGTGTGTGTATATAGTGACAGGTGTGTATCTGAGTGTATTCACACTTCATGTGTTTACAACACTGTGGATAATGGTGGTGGTGGTGGGGCACAGGATGAACAACTGCTGCGTTCAACTGAACATTTACGTACGTTAATGAACATTTTATTCTTTGTTTTTTTCAGGTGTGTGCCTGGCTGTGTCTGCCAGCCTGTGTCTGGCTGTGTCTGTGGTGCTAGACTATCCTGGTGTTCTGGAAGTGTTGAAACGTCTGAGCCATTGTCAGCGTTTCTGGCAGAGATGCTGTCCTGGCTGATGTATAGTATGATGTTCAGGTGAGTATACACCTTGGTGTAGTGATGTGGTTCTGGACCAACACAGTTGTGGAAAATACTGTATATATTTTTCGTAAATACGGTAATTTATAGGTAAATAGATGGCCTATATTGTATTTAATAAAATTATATTATAGAAAATGGGAAACTGAGCCTGCGTCTGCGCAGACGAGACTCGCCATCTTGGTTTTGAATTTTGTTCAAACGTTGGTGTAATGGGAAGAATTTTTCGTGCTCTAGAGGTTAAAATTGTGTTGACACCTCTCAAATAGGAGGCGAAATTGGTGGATGTGCATTCCTGCATAACTTGAGATATCAGACGACTGGACAAGACAGCTCCAGGAACCTCAGATAAGCTCTCTAGATTTGTGTGCAATTCTGGCCAGTATTATTTTCATAGATTTAGTTAGAGTGAGGTTTTCTGAGTATGATACACATTAATCTCCAGTCAAATTGGTGAGTGATATTAAGATATATTTTCCTTCTGTTATGTAATTGTGTATATATATATCCATTTATTATTTTTAATATACAGTCCACAAATTTATATATTTACCAGTATTCCTGGTGTATGTATATTTCATTTAATTAATAGGTCCAGAGCAACTTGTGGATATGACAGTGGTAGGTATCGAAGGGGGACATTTTTTTGCGACCTAGGTGTCCCAAATTCCTACTTGTCTATGTAACATTGATAAATAACAATTATCTTTATCGTTTACTGTTATGTACATAATTAGTTACATTCGGATAAATGCAATTTTCCACAACAGTGAAGAGTCAGAACCAGGAGAACCTCCAGGATTGGCAACCCAGGGTAAGCCATGAAAGCCACGCACTGTGGCTTGGTGGGCAGGTATCTACTTACTGCTAGGTATCTACTTACTGCTAGGTATTACTTACTGCTAGGTACCTACTTACTGCTAGGTACCTATTTACTGCTAGGTGAACAGGTACCTTCTTACTGCTAGGTGAGCAGATACCTACTTACTGCTAGGTGAACGTGGGGGTTTCAACCGGTTTTAGCAAACATGCCTGGAGACGACCCCCCCCCCTCTCCCTCGCCCGCTCCAGGATTGAACCCGGGTGCCTTTGTTGTGAGCCGAAGGTGCTAGCACTGTAGCCAGGATCCACTCATCTGTAGCTCCGGGTCCTTGGATCAAGATTATTCCCCCTAACAGCGTCCTCGGATCATTAGCCACACATGCAGAACCTACTGGAACCTAACACCCTGTCAAGAATGGTGGTAATTAGGTACGGGTCATTAGGAGGGTAATCAGGTGGTTGGACAATTAGGTGGGCAATGTGAAGGATAGTTGTGCCTGGTTTTTACACGTCTCTTGTGTGTTAAACATGTAAGGTGAGATAACCCAGGGTAGGGAGGGTTAGCCACTCAGGATAACCCAGGGTAGGGAGGGTTAACCACCCAGGATAACCCAGTCAGTGCGTCGTTAAGGATTGTCTGTCTTATTTCCATTGTTTTCCTTCAATCTTGTCCCCCAGGATGCCACCCATACCAGTTGACTAGCACCTAGGTACTTACTGCTAGGTGAACAGTGACAGCAGGTTTAAGGAAACACGCCCAGTGTTTCCACCCCTGCCGGGGATGGAACCACGGACACTTGGTGTCTGTGCGGCGAGTGCGTTGTCTACCAGGCCACGGGAGACATACATCAATTTTTTTTTTTTACTGACTTGAGCATCACCAATATCAGCATCACTGGTTGTCAGCGTCACTGGTTGTGTCTGTTAGCGTCACTGGATGTCTGTCAGCATCACTAGTTGTGTCTGTCAGCATCACTGGCTGTGTCAGTATTCCCAGCTGTCAGCATCACTGGCTGTATCTGTCAGCATTACACACTGTCAGCATCACTGGCTGTGTCAGCATCACTGGCTGTCAGCATCGCTGCCTGTGTCAGCATCACTGACTGTCAGCATCACTGGCTGTCAGAGTGAGTCTGTGGTCCTAGGACTGAGCAATATGATAATATATGAGTGTGAAAAACTTCTGTGTGCACGACCTGTGTGTGTATATATTACTCGTGTGCACGGCTTCTGTATGGCTAGTGTGCACGGCCTGTGTATATGTATGGCTTGTGTGCACGGTCTGTGTGTACGTGTGACATTCATTCTAGATGTGACTGACCCGTGTGTGTGGTTCTGTACGTGTGTGACATGCTAGGTATGACCTACCTGTGTGCACGACCTGCGTGTGTGCACGTGTTTGAGAAACTGTCATGCTAGGTAGAACCTACCTGGGTGCACGGCCTGTATCCTTGGCCCGTCATCGTGTAGGCTGACCATGTTGCTGATGCGGCTGACGGAGGAGTGATCAGCCATGGAGTGTCAGAACTGATAGTGCCTCCCGTCAGCAGTGACTGTCTTCCGTCAGCCGTGACTGTCTGACTGTACCTCCCTCACACGCAAGATTGCACCGTGCGTGAGGGGGGTGATAGTGGGGAGGGGCAGAGACTAACTAACGTGTTACCCTGTGAGGGGTACTAGTCTCAGTGATAGGAGAGGGGGGGAATAGTTCTCTGCTGCGGATGGTCTTCACTCTGCTACACTATCCACCACTAACACACAATATGGCCGACCCTGTTGCCTATCCTTCAGGGCTGCCAGGATCCCTGGCTAGACAATATCACTTCAAGACTCTTCAGAGTGTCTTGGAACGTCTTATAGCCTATCCACTTCCTCCTTAGGATATAGGATAGTCTGCTCTATCCTCTAGTCAGACCAGAGCCTCGCCCTGGTTAGGCTAGCGCTGGAAAATAAAGGAAGGTTAGGCATCTGGAAGGTTTGTCAGCGCAGGCGCTGATAACACCTGACACCCAGAAACTGAGAGTGGGCGGCGCCCCCCACTACTGCCGCCCACCACCCGCTCCATGCACCGCCCACCCACCCACCTATACACACACACACACACACACACACCTCGTACTCCAGATCATGAACTATAGGATGAACGGAAGGTGTAGTGTTGATAGTGTGTGAGTGCTGTAGGAGAGTGTAGCACACTTATATATTGATCCATTACTCAATACTCGCTGGTACACTCGCTCTTCCTTCCTTACTACACTTATTCCTTCCTTCTGAAGGCAAGGTACGAGTGTAGAGCTTTCCACCTCCTTCTGGAGGTGGGAAGTACAGTGTCTGCACTCTGAAGGATGGGTTGGGATGTTAGTTCTGGAGGTGGGAAGCACAGTGTCTGCGCTCTGAAGGATGGGTTGGGATGTTAGTTCTGGAGGTGGGAAGCACAGTGTCTGCGCTCTGAAGGATGGGTTGGGATGTTAGTTCTGGAGGTGGGAAGTACAGTGTCTGCACTCTGAAGGATGGGTTGGGATGTTAGTTCTGGAGGTGGGAAGCACAGTGTCTGCGCTCTGAAGGATGGGTTGGGATGTTAGTTCTGGAGGTGGGAAGTACAGTGTCTGCGCTCTGAAGGATGGGTTGGGATGTTAGTTCTGGAGGTGGGAAGCACAGTGTCTGCACTCTGAAGGATGGGTTGGGATGTTAGTTCTGGAGGTGGGAAGCACAGTGTCTGCACTCTGAAGGATGGGTTGGGATGTTAGTTCTGGAGGTGGGAAGCACAGTGTCTGCACTCTGAAGGATGGGTTGGGATGTTAGTTCTGGAGGTGGGAAGTACAGTGTCTGCACTCTGAAGGATGGGTTGGGATGTTAGTTCTGGAGGTGGGAAGCACAGTGTCTGCACTCTGAAGGATGGGTTGGGATGTTAGTTCTGGAGGTGGGAAGTACAGTGTCTGCACTCTGAAGGATGGGTTGGGATGTTAGTTCTGGAGGTGGGAAGCACAGTGTCTGCACTCTGAAGGATGGGTTGGGATGTTAGTTCTGGAGGTGGGAAGTACAGTGTCTGCACTCTGAAGGATGGGTTGGGATGTTAGTTCTGGAGGTGGGAAGCACAGTGTCTGCACTCTGAAGGATGGGTTGGGATGTTAGTTCTGGAGGTGGGAAGCACAGTGTCTGCACTCTGAAGGATGGGTTGGGATGTTAGTTCTGGAGGTGGGAAGTACAGTGTCTGCGCTCTGAAGGATGGGTTGGGATGTTAGTTCTGGAGGTGGGGAAGTACAGTGTCTGCGCTCTGAAGGATGGGTTGGGATGTTAGTTCTGGAGGTGGGAAGCACAGTGTCTGCACTCTGAAGGATGGGTTGGGATGTTTAGTTCTGGAGGTGGGAAGTACAGTGTCTGCGCTCTGAAGGATGGGTTGGGATGTTAGTTCTGGAGGTGGGAAGCACAGTGTCTGCGCTCTGAAGGATGGGTTGGGATGTTAGTTCTGGAGGTGGGAAGTACAGTGTCTGCGCTCTGAAGGATGGGTTGGGATGTTAGTTCTGGAGGTGGGAAGCACAGTGTCTGCACTCTGAAGGATGGGTTGGGATGTTAGTTCTGGAGGTGGGAAGTACAGTGTCTGCGCTCTGAAGGATGGGTTGGGATGTTAGTTCTGGAGGTGGGAAGTACAGTGTCTGCACTCTGAAGGATGGGTTGGGATGTTAGTTCTAGAGGTGGGAAGCACAGTGTCTGCACTCTGAAGGATGGGTTGGGATGTTAGTTCTGGAGGTGGGAAGTACAGTGTCTGCGCTCTGAAGGATGGGTTGGGATGTTAGTTCTGGAGGTGGGAAGTACAGTGTCTGCGCTCTGAAGGATGGGTTGGGATGTTAGTTCTGGAGGTGGGAAGCACAGTGTCTGCACTCTGAAGGATGGGTTGGGATGTTAGTTCTGGAGGTGGGAAGTACAGTGTCTGCGCTCTGAAGGATGGGTTGGGATGTTAGTTCTGGAGGTGGGAAGTACAGTGTCTGCACTCTGAAGGATGGGTTGGGATGTTAGTTCTAGAGGTGGGAAGCACAGTGTCTGCACTCTGAAGGATGGGTTGGGATGTTAGTTCTGGAGGTGGGAAGTACAGTGTCTGCGCTCTGAAGGATGGGTTGGGATGTTAGTTCTGGAGGTGGGAAGCACAGTGTCTGCGCTCTGAAGGATGGGTTGGGATGTTAGTTCTGGAGGTGGGAAGTGCAGTGTCTGCGCTCTGAAGAATGGGTAGGGATTGTGGAAAATACTGTATATATTTTCCGGAAATACGGTAATTTATATGTAAATAGATGGCCTATACTGTATTTAATAATATTTGTCATAGAAAACGGAAAGCCTGTGTCTGGGCAGGAGACTCGCCAACTTGGTTTTGAATTTCGTACAAACGTTAGTGTAATGGGAAGAATTTTTCGTGCTCTAGAGGTTAAAATTGTGTTGCCACTTCTCAAATAGGAGGCGAAATTGGTGGATGTGCATTCCTGCATAACTTGAGATATCAGACGACTGGACAAGACAGCTCCAGGAACCTCAGATAATCTCTCTAGATTTGTGTGTAATTCTGGCCAGCATTATTTTCATAGATTTAGTTCGAGTGAGGTTTTCTGAGTATGATACACATTAATCTCCAGTCAAATTGGTGAGTGATATTAAGATATATTTTCCTTCTGTTATGTAATTGTGTATATATATAACCATTTATTATTTTTAATATACAGTCCGCAAATTTATATATTTACCAGTATTCCTGGTGTATGTATTTTTAATTTAATTAATAGGTCCAGAGCAACTTGTGGTTATGACAGTGGTAGGTATCGAAGGGGGACATTTTTTGCGACCTTGGTGTCCCAAATTCCTACTTGTCTGTGTAACTCTGATAAATAATAATTATCATTGTTATCATTTTCTGTTATGTACATAATGAGTTACATTCAGATAAATGTAATTTTCCACAGGGATGTTAGTTCTGGAGGTGGGAAGTGCAGTGTCTGCACTCTGAAGAATGGGTGGGAATGTTAGTTCTGGAGGTGGGAAGTACAGTGTCTGCGCTCTGAAGGATGGGTGGGAATGTTAGTTCTGAAGATGGGAAGTGCGTTGTCTGCACTCTGAAAGATGGGTGGGGATGTTAGTTCTGGAGGTGGGAAGTACAGTGTCTACACTCTGAAGAATGGGTGGGAATGTTAGTTCTGAAGATGGGAAGTGCGTTGTCTGCACTCTGAAAGATGGGTGGGGATGTTAGTTCTGGAGGTGGGAAGTACAGTGTCTGCACTCTGAAGAATGGGTGGGAATGTTAGTTCTGGAGGTGGGAAGTACAGTGTCTGCACTCTGAAGGATGGGTGAGAATGTTAGTTCTGAAGATGGGAAGTGCAGTGTCTGCACTCTGAAAGATGGGTAGGGATGTTGCAGTTCTGGAGGTGGGAAATACAGTGCCTGCACTCCGAAGGATGGGTGAGGATGTTACAGCCCTGATACAGAGGGCTGGTGGTATGGAATACCTTCATTGGCTCATTAATTAAGGTATGCTGACGCTCACTCCCAGGACAACCACAACAGTCGATTAACACCCAGGTACCCACTTACTGCTAGGTGAACAGTGGCAGCATTATTATTATAATAAAAAAGAAGCGCTAAGCCACAAGGGCTATGCAGCGCTGCAGGGCAGGAAGGAAGCGAGGGCATCAGGTGGCAAAAGGGAGGTGGATGAGTAATAGGTTATGGATAACAGCGGAGCAGTGGATGGTGAAAGGGTAAAGGGCAGCAAGAGACTGAGCTAGAAAGGGCTGAGGGGAGTGCATAAGGTATCATCAGAGTTTGTGGAGTAAATCAGTCATTGTCAAGAATCAATGAGAGGTCGGGTTAAAGGAGGGTCCATCAGAAAGAAGGGAAAAAAATTTTAAAGGAGGTGTAGAACGGGGGACGGCGTTGGAGGAAAAATTCGCGTGCCGTTGAAGAGAGGGCATTTAACGAATGGGCTAATCGATACGGGAACTTGAACGCTCACAGGAGGACAGGGTCCTCCCATGAGATACCCGTAAAGTAAGTGAGTTGGCCAATGCAAACGGGGAGAGTGGTCTCCCAAACGGCACTGATGACAAGAAACGGCCAAAAACCTAGCTGGGTTTTTAATAGAAGAATTTTGCCCAAGCAGGTTGACCAATTTGTTGCCAACGGGCGTGAAGGTGGGTAGTATTGCAGCAAAATAGTCCAGAAATGGAACACCCCTTATAGGAAATTTAGGTCTGTACTGCTGACCGCGCAGCAGTGTCTGCCCGTTCATTGCCTTGTACGTTGACATGCCCAGGGACCCAACAAAAAATAATACCCTTTATGCTTCGTAGAGATACGGCGTAGCCAAAGTTGGATACGGAGAACTAGGGGGCGAGATGTATCAAATTTTCGTATACCCTGTAGAGCATAAGGGAGTCTGAGACTACCACAAATGAGGACACAGGCTTAGATGCGATACGAATAAGTGCTGCAAAAAATGGCATAAAATTTTCAGCAGTAAAAAATGCTAGCCGAAGATAGTAAATGCCCCGCAACGCCTGTCCAGAAACACTGCTGCGAATCCAACGCCGTCTGAAGACTTAGAGCCATCTGTGTACACAGCGATGGCATGAGAATGGGAGTGGAAGTGATAAAGAAAAAGAGAGCGGGAAGCCACCATAGGCAGGTTGAGTTTTTGAGCAGGGGGAAAGGTGAAAAAGAACAGACCCGAACAGCTGGAACTTCCAGGGGGGTAGGGAAAAAGCGAGATGCTACATGAACATATAAAGGTGGAAAACTGAAGGGAAGACAAGAGTGAATGTAGGCGAAAGAAAAAGGGACGGAGCAAACAGGGGCGGGGGAACGAATAAAGAATGTCTACTAATATCGGTGACCATTCTATAAAGGGAAAGGATTGTGGAGATCGTGAGGAGCGTACATAGTAGCGAAGGCAAT